GAGCTCCTTAGAATCGCAATATAAAACAGAGCGTAGGAATTAAAATACATCAGCATCAAGTGACAGGAGAGACGTCTGCTCTGGCTTTTGAAGGCCACCCGGAAGCCTTCCTTAAGACGAGCTCCAGATTGTGAATCTGTGAGGGAGCCAGGATCCGGCGTCCCCACGTGCTCGTGATGGTGTTCACGCTGCGCTAGCAGCGTCCCACGCTGAGCCCTGCTGGGGCAGGCTGTGTGCGAGCTGCGTGCCAGCTGCCTCCTGGAAGCCCTGCTTTGGACCTGGGACTGCTCGGGGTGAGCAGCATAGAAATAATGTCCAGGACTTTATTGCATGTAAAGTCATTCTCCTCCGTGTATCTCACACAGGAATTCAGTGGCATATTTATGGACTGATGTTAAAACTGTACACAGGTAGATTTAGAGCACCTGGTTGTGGGAGTGTGTTGTCCGGAAAAAAGTGTTTCCAAAAAAAAAGAAAGCCTGAGTTCACATTTGCAGAAATCGCATTTCACATGTCAGCTGCTGTTTGTTTTAAAGGCTCTGCTCCTGGAGTCTTGTGATGATGCATCTCTGTCCCTGACCATTTGAACAAAACCATCTTGTTTCGTGGTTGGGGGTGAAAATGAAAAATCTGTCGTAATGGTATCCTGAAAAGAGTAGAGCTGATGGGAAAGCAACATGTATTTTTAATTCCATGCTTTTGCAGCCATTATAATTATTTAGCATGGCATCATTAATGAATTTTAAATGCTTGGGATTAGGATTGCTGCATTTAAAGCTCTAGATGCTTCTGCTATGCTCATAGATCCACCTTTGTTGTCTGCTCCAAAACTAAAATGTTGGTTTCCTTCTTGGCAAGCAAACTCAGAAATCAAAAGCTAGAAGAGACTTCTTTCCTTTTCCCTCTCGGCATTTTCCTACCATATTGACACTGCAGTTGACAAACAACATTAAATAACCTTCAAGCCTGTGTCAGCTACCAGGTCTCAGTAATGAGGGGAAAATCAGACCAACACATGACTGGTTGGGAATAAAAACAAAATTGTCAGGCTGATCAAAAACCATCCACGTCCCTGCTTTCCCTTTTGGCTGCTGGGTGTTGCGTTCAGCCCATTGATTAATGTGTCACTGCTTAGCATCATTTTAATATGGGCTGCGAGGCAGTGGCACAGCACCCAGGCAGCTTGCTGCCTTCCTGCAGCCCGGAGGCTTGTCCTGCTGTCTGCACAACACAGGGCTGCCCTGCCAGGAGGAGGAGGAGGGCAGAGAGGTGGGCACAGCAGGCTGGAGGGCTCTGCTTTGCCACCTCCTCCGTGCTGGCTCCGGCTAGGACAACCATGCACACCCTGGGGTAACCTTTCATCTCTGGCACTGTTGACTCCGCTTATCAGGGACCGGTTGGGTAATAAGGATGTGTGGCAATAGCTGCTTTTACCTAGAGAATAAAAGATGAGAGATTCCTCCCACTCAGCCCAGAACAGAAAGAGGATGATTTCAGGATGAAATGAAACCAAACTCGGTGTCATCTGTCCTGGGGCAAATGACTGCGGTGGGGGTCCGTCCTCTTCTTGGCATGTCTCACCCTCAGCTGCATTTCCCAGCCCATGGTAATCCCCATTCCTCCTCCTGTCACGGTGGTTGACCTGGATCAGCAGCTCCCCAAGTAGTTTTTTTTTCTTTTTCTTTTCTTTTTTTTTTCCACATTAACTTCCATTAGCCTCATAGAAACAAACACCTCATGCTCACACACCTCAGTGGTTATAATTCAGTGCACAAGATAAAGGTAAATCTGCAAATGGGCTGGCAACTGTTTCCTTTTGCCATTGTATGAAATTCTTCAAAGCTGGTAGTGTCTCTAATTATTATGTAGCAAGATGCAACAAGTCTGCAGCAATCTGCAGAATACTGGAATGTCTCAAGTGATGCTAGAAGCACGAAGTGAGATACCCGTGACCTTTATAACACAGGAAAAGTACTAGTAGAACTAGCTGAATGCAGTTTTTCACCAATCTGAAAGGAATGGTTGGTATATGGATGTTGGAAATAGGCATTTTTCACAATAATCCCGTGTTTGAAATGTCCTGACCTTAGGAATGTAGTACAAAATTAGTTCCAGTGGAGAAGAAACATAGCAAAGGAAACAGATACTTGTTTTTTTTTTTAATCAGGATTCCTCAATTACAAAAATAAGACAAATAGTAATACTGCTAGGTTGAGCTGAATTAACATGCGTTTAAAATGAATGAAAAAGAGGTCCCTCTTTCATTTAGAAAGAAATCACAGGTGCTCAGAAATGAAATACATCTCTGGCTCTGAAATGATTGGAGTCCTTCTACAGCAGCTTCTCAAAAATGTCATGTGAGATTAGGTCTGTATGCAGTTGAGTTGGTAAGCATACAAACCCCATGCAAAAAGCAGTCATCGTTCCAAGAGCTTGCAGTCTAAGGCAATGTTTTCAAAGATGACTACTCATTTGTGAAGCCTTTTTAAAAGATCTTACTTTCCAAAAGTGCTGGGTGCATGATCCTTAGTAAACCAGGATCCTTAGAGGAGTCTCTATCACTAAACATGATAGGTTACAAGAGGGAGTAAGTGCTTCTGAATTCCTGGCCTCAAAAGACAAAGTGAGAAGAGAAGAGAGGTGCTAAATCACTACTAAGTCTTTGCTTTGGTATAAGCTCAGAGCTTAACAGAATTACTGCTTTTCTCTTGGTCATTGTCACTGGTTGTATCCAGACTGGCCCTGTTTGGTGTCCCACATGGCTTGAGATGGTTGCTGTCACGTGGCAGCGTGGACAGATCAGTCCCTGATTCTTCTTGCTCATGGGTTTCTCACAGGCCAGCTGGCCCACTTCAAACCAAAGCACGAGTACAGACCCATGGTTTAGACAAAGTGGATGATGGAAATTCCAGCATGGGCGTAGTCTTGAAGCCTGATCTGATAGAGTTAGCCAGTTCACCCATTTCATTTTAGTCCTGTAACTGTGGATAGGCAAGGTATTTTCATTTGCTTGGGAGAGCTTTTCAAATTTCCCCTTCCTTGCAGCAGGTGTGCTATTTAACTAGAAAAACAAAATGAGACAAAAAAAGTCTCATTTCTCCTTTATGAGACAAGTACATCTCTGCCAATGCTACACAGAAGTGAGATAGCCTCAAGGTCACCTAGAATCCAGCATTTTTTGAGGTTAGGTACCAATTTCCCTCTCTCCACATTTAAAACGTCCCCCCAGATTTCTCCTTTATCTTCACACCTGCTTAATATCACCACTGTGTCCTTTTCTGTCCTGGGGGATGCAGTCAGTTATCTGTCTAGACCAAAGGTCCCTGGATCGAAACCTTCCTGACAGTTCTTTCGTGGAATAAAACAGTTGCTGGGTCCCAAACGTGCATCTTTCTTGGGCCACTTTTGACACGGTCGTATTATGGAGTCGATGACAGTAGATGCAAGTGGGATCATCACCCTAGAGAACCTGGAGAATAAAAACAGTGCAGCTGTGAAAACAAAAATGAAAACTACCACGATAATCGGGTGAACGTGCCCACATAAGAAAGGAAATAGCTAAGGAGACTGGGTTTTATTGTTCCTCTATTTAATAGGCCATGTTTAAACTGAGGAATGAAGTGCTTATGGCAGGGTCTGGTTTTGTTGCTGTTGTTGTTTTATATCTCACTCGGTATTCTTCCAGAACCTGCTGGGTTAGCATCCCACCCTTTCCTCGCTCGATCAGACCTCCATTTCCATAGCTGCAAGGGTTTGGGGGTGGGAAAGCCAAATATGGGCAAACTTTACAGGCTGGCAGAGCCCGTGAGTCCGCACCCCGTAGAGAAGAGCCCTCCGGGCATGATTTTGAAGGGGTGAAGAGTAGAAGGCTACTGCCAGCCTGAGTTTCAGCTGACATGAATACTGCCTTGGCAGCATCAGCATCCCATTAGCATCTCAAATTGGAATCTGGCCCCAAAAAAAAAACAAAGATCCATCTCACTCCATACATACGGACATGTACGTTCGTGCATGAGGAAGGACATCAGCTGGAGAGGGTGCAAAGCACACCCCAGTGAGGGCTGTCCCAGCACTGCCCTCGGGGTTCCCAAAGTGCAATAGCAATCTGCGACATGTATTAAACACGATCTGTGAGAAACAAAGCTGTGTCCAGAGCAGGCCTGTTGAAGTAACACATGCGCTTGTCTCTGCATGGCTTCCTGGCTCCAGAGACCAGTGTAGGCCTGTGAGCAATTTGTGTGCCTTTTGGTGGCTAAATACTGAATAAATGAATGCGTTTCAGTGGGAGCTGTCCTGCAGAGGCACTCATTTCGTGTTTACAAAGGCACAACAAGGAACACAAATCCCCATCCAAAATTTTATGATCATACAATAACTTAGGTTGGGAGGGACCTTCAATTCAACCCTGCTCAATACGGGGCCAAGGTGGGTTGCTCAGGGCCTTCTCGGGTTGAGTGGTGAATATCTTCTGTAGGTGGAGGTTGCGCAACCTCATCAGGGAACTTATTCCAAAATTTGGCTACCCTCACTGGGCAGAATTTTTCCTTGTATCTACCTGGAATATCTCCTGGTGCATTACCTGTCCTCTTCTTGCCATGCATCCCAAAGAAGACTTTGGGTGGAGGAATGGAAAAATTTCAAGAAAGCCTAGCCAAGTCCCAGACTCTCTGGGACTCCAGCTAGAGGAAGAGTGAGCAGTGCTATAAGATGAAGCAATAAAATTCAAGTAGCATTTATCAAATCAGACAAATGATTGCTGCTCTGTGCTTTATATTTATCTAGGAATTGATTAAGCACTGAAGTTTTTGGTTGATGAGTAAAACTGATTAAAGAAACTGCCAGGGTCACAATATATGTTCTAGGAGTAGTTTGTCTTTACTTTATAAATGCATTTGCTCAGCACAAACTTGACTTTTTATTTTAGTTGAAATATATGGTACTTCCTTTGCTCTGTTCTGTACTCACTGTCTGGTTTTGGTTTTCTGTTTTGTTTCTTGCAGCCCCAGCAGAGAGCTCTCCGTAAACATTTCCAGCCTCTAAAGCTGCTGTCCTGCCACTTGATATGAAAGTGAACTTTCCTTTGTGAAAAAAAAAAAAAAACATAATAAATGGCACTGCCAAGAGGTGACCATGGAGGACTGAAGGCAAACCTGAAGTAAACGCAGCCCACTCAAGATGATGCATTCTGGGAAGACCTGGTTTGCTGCAGAGTAAAGATGTGGTGCATAATATCCAGTGCTAATTTGTTCAAAATGGTCATTGACAGACCTTTAGCTGGAAAATTTCTTCCAGTTTTCATCACTGTGCATAACTTTGAGTTCCCTGTAGGGGACTGTCTATGCCCTTCACTAGAAGTCCTGTTTTAGCATGGCAACTACTGGATTCTTTTATTATGTATGCAGATGGCATGATGTTTTAGGAAAAACTTACAGCAATTCTCCAATCTCAGTGGATATGTTCACAATATTACACCCCTGATAGGAATGTAAACGTCTTGTATATGTTAGTTTTGCAGTCTAATGGTATTCTGTTAAACGATATCAGCACTTCATACGTGCTTTCCACACAGAAATAGCACAGCCCATATATATAACGGTCTTTTTTAAAAAATACTGAGGATACGTTTCAGTCTTTGTGCTGAGACTGCATCCAAACTGAAGTCCACTACTAGCATACCTTCACTGATTCACAGTAGATTGTGTAGATAGATTTGCACGTGGCAGAGGTGTGACATTTTATTGAGACTTACAGAATGGCTGTCACAGAGGTAGCCAAGAACAGGGTAAGGTTGAACGAGCTGTAGGACACTGTGTCTGCTCTCCCTCCCATCCACCAGATGTCAAAGGTTCTCATTTTCTAGCTTGCCAATGAGTTTTCTTACTCAGTGAGGGAGAGGAGAGGGAGAGCACCTTTCTCAGAGATGTGTTTGACCCTGGGTTTGGTCTACAATAAAAGCAGAACAAACTGGAAGAATTCAGGTTCTTTATGCTGGCGACCATTTACGTTTTGGGAAGGACTGGGGAGTCACAGTCCAAACCAAACTCTCTGAAAAAGGTAAAGTGTAAGACTATACTTCTAAGGAGCAAGACACTCCCTCTGGAGAGGGCAGACTTCTTTGTTAACTTTTTCCACTTTCTATCCAAAACAGTACTTTGGTAGGAAATAGGAATAAGCAAATGGTTCTAATAAGCCTTTCAATATACTGTAGCAGGCTCAAGACTGTTGCATTCAATCTGAGCGTTGTTTTGTGTTCAGTCTCTGAATGGCTGGCCTCATCACTGGCTGTATCACAGCTGGCTGTGGTACTGTTTTTTCCACGGGGACTTAGTGGAATTAACGTCTGTCCCTGACATCAGGACCTTCCTGACATATTATTTATAATGAACTGATGTCATCAGTGTATGGAGGAGGCTTACCTATTTGTTCCTTCTTTCTTTAAAATCAAAGGTAGCTTTTTGTGTATTTAAAGACCATCATTCTCTCCAGCCTGATAGACAGGTACTGTGGAGTTGCCATTAGTGTGTATGCCAAACCGTGGGTGAGATGCCATAGGGGTGTGAGGATTCAGTGATCGAGAGAAGGAGCAACTATATCAAGGCCAAGGGACGTTTTAGGAGTAGGTTCCTGTGTTATAATATTTAGCTATTGTACAGTTCATTGCTAGAGAATGCAAGGTCAACCACTGAGGGTGCCTGTACAACCAACAGATAAATGTATTTGGGGTGTAATTTTTTTCAGATGGGCGGGGGTTTTGTTACGCCTCTCCACCCATCTCAGATTCAGCATGCTGAATGCTTCTTTACTGTTCAATCCAGAAGGAAAATATTTTTATTGACAGCCAAGATTTTCAGAAGCTGCTAGTGGTTTCTAATGGCTTGGGTCTTTCCATGGGTTTTCAATGGAGCTCCCAAAGTTATAAAGCAGCGAGCTTTATATTTTCTTTCTGAAAATCCTGGCGCCTAATTTTAAATTAATTGGTGTACAAGTTCTCCTTAAGACATAAGGATCTTTGCCAACAGCAGCATTTGCACTTTTTAGAGCTTCTCATAGCGTAGCAGGTTGGAATCTGATCCTTGTTAAGAGAAGTGGCCGTGAGCCCTGCAGAATTCCATTGTAAGCTTCAGTAAATTTTACAGCTCTTTCTGCTACAGATTTTAAAAATGCACTCTGGCAACTGACATCAATTTCATGTCGGTAGAGCAATTAAAAAAGAAACAACTTGGATATAAATTACTTTTAAAAGGAGAATGCTATGCTTCTGCAGTAGGGATTCTCTTATTATATTACATCCAATGAAACAAATCTGTAATAATTTGAATGATAAAAGGAGTGTTTATCTTTAAAAAAAGAAGAGTGTTATCTTAAAAGGGCGTATGAGACAAAGTTGAGTTAGGCAAAGAGCCACTAGAAGCATTTTTTGTATCAATGTTAGTTTTGAACATCTTCCAGTATATGGGCATGAATTTAGATGTGTGCACTTCTCCTGTTAAAACAGTTTGTTTTAAAAGCTTCCCAGGATTTTAGCTACGGTGATCTAGAAACGCAGTGTTATAGGCCCTGAGAAATGTGAAAACAAAGTCCAGACCCTTTGTGTAGCCAAACTCAGTGAGAACTCTGCTGTAGGTGCCCATCAGACAAAGCTCGTTGGACAGTGGCGTAGGTCTCCATCCTACAGACAGCCTGTGCATGTGGATAACTCCAAACGTGAGCAAGAATAGTTCCCCCGAGCCCCGCAACACTCCTCACGTGTCTAACTGTCTGAAGGAGCCATAAGGAAATAACTGTACTTTTTGGCTTGTATTTAACTATTCATCATGTTTGGATTTTTTTTTTTTTTTAATCGCTGTTATTCTCCCAAAGTAGGCCATGCTTCCTCAGGGATATTTATGAAATTGTTCTGCATCTACTGAACAACTATCTGGATCCCAGCGTATTCTTCTGAAAAGTTTTTAATATAAATAAACATGTGGGAGAAATTTTTTGTTATTATGAATGGGGGCAGGTACTGTGTTCTCGGAAAGGCTATTGAGTGCAGACAATCAAGTCTATTGCATTTTTTATGCTGAACACCTTATTAATAGCAGACACATCCGCTTTTGCCTGGGTCGCAAGAACGGTTCTGTGGAAAGAATGCTTTATCTCTAGTCAATAAATCATTTATGTCGAGAGTGCCAAAGACCAAGTCAACATGAAAGGGAGCGAATAAGTTATTCCGGCAAAGGAAGTGAATTTAAATACGCTCAGAGCCATTAGTTCTGTGCAAAAGAGCTGGAGACTAATGCTATTTTAATAAAACAGCAATTATCAGCCCTGTGGAGATAGATATATTCACAAAGGCCAGTGCTCCCGTTACGCTGATCGCTGGTTATTAGCTCTGAAACACGGGTGGCTCCCCGCAGCCCCGTGGTCAGGGTGCTGCTCCTGGCGGCAGACCTGCAGCCTTGCTGCCTCTGGGTGCCCGTCCCGGCCATGTCTTCCCCGCTGTCTTTGTGCACGGAAGGATGATGCAGCATCAGCCCCAACAAGAAACCTGGGCAGAGACTCAGCCATCCTCAGTGCTTCAAATTTTGTGAAGGCCAACACCTGAAATGAGAGGAATTGCTCACCCGAAACAAATACGTGCTGCAGCTCAAAACATCCTTTGCGCTGTTTCATTCCTGGTTTGTTTGTTTTTTACATCTGCATGGCTTTCTCTGCCTGAATACCCCGTCGTTTATTCTGTTAAGGAGCTTCAGGAGGGAAGGCTGCAGCAGCTCTGCGAGCTCTTTGGCTTTGCCAACCTGTCTGCATCGCCGTGTCCTGGCGGTGGGTTCGTGCCTGGCTGCCCACTTCTGTTACTCGACAGCCAGACCAAAAGCAGCTGCAGTGTCGTTGAGGAAATCAAACCATTAAAAATGACAAAATTCTTTTTTTTTGTTTTGTTTGAATTTTCAGAAGTCCTCAGGGCAGGCCCCCAGCAGACCTGCATTGGCACTGCTCCATCGCTGTCCCCGGAGATCTGTTGATTAATGCCAGCTGTGGAGCCCGTCCGGGGGTGATTTTTTTTTTTGCTATAACTAAAACTGACCTCCCTCCACCCTTCATGAAGCCACAAGATCTCAATTATTCAAAATTGTTTCAGGCAAGCAAAGTAAAAACCTGCATTTTTCACCCCGGTCCCCTTTTAACAAATAACATCTCCGCAATCTGAATCTCCTTGAAAGGCCCTGCTACAAGACTGTGGCGTGATTGACCCTGGTATAAATAGACTGGTCAATAAGATTTTAATTTAAAAAGAAAAGGCCCTCTATTATAATTAAAATTGATGGTTGGGGGGGGGAAGTATTACCAGCATTACCTGCAGTCTCCTATAGTAAAATTCAGGAAAGCACTCTGCAGTGCAAAAAAAGCCACCGACGTAATGTATGGGGGATTAGGCAGGCTCATGAGTATAAATCAGCAAGTAAGCAAGTAAATGTTTGATGAGGAAAGCCAAAAATGTATGGGAAGTCAGTGGCCAGTAGGTTAGGGCTAGCAAGACCAAACGCTTCACATGCATCCTAATAAATACAGTTGTGGCAAAGCAGAGTCTGATGTGAGATACGGCGTGGTGATTACTCACAGGACATGCAAAAACCAACAAATATTCTTGTTTTGTATTTGAGAGTGGTAGAATGAGGGAGTCAGATTGCACATTAAAATGTAATTCCTCCTACTCCGTCAGTAATTATGGGTAATATTAAGCAGCGACTATCCAAACATATTCTTAAATTTGCAGAACCAAATAACCAAATTCAAAAGTGTAGGAAAACTTGCCTAGGATTTATCAGAGCTCAAAAGCACAAAAGAAGCTTTAAATAACAAACACACACAAAACAATAACTGAAAAGAATGAGTGACCTGACCCAGAAAACTATCGGCTCATTAGCCTCCTATTTTCCTATTTTCCTTTGGGAAAATCATGGAAAGGTTGATGTGACACAAATCATTGCAGCAATTAAAAATTGATAAACCCCTCCAAATGATTATTTATAGAAATGCATTGTGTCAAGTAAACTTCCTATCATTTTCTCGTGATATCAAAGGCTTGTTGATAAAAGAAACTCTGCAGATGCACAATGCTTAGCCTGCTATCGATCATTTGTTTCTGATAACAAAATAGCACTATGCAAAATCAGTATAGCCCATAGTAAGTGGATTAAAGCCGATTACATGCTAGATCACAAAAAATGGCTGTAAATATTAAATTATCATCAGCGAGACTATTTCTAATGAGCTCCTCCCAAGGTATGTTCTATTTTCAATATTCCTCCCAGGGAAATAGAAAGTTACTGGTGGCAACACCAAGAGATCACCAAAAAGAGGTGCATGGTATGAGATGATGATGAACCTGGAGTACTGCAAATGCAGAAATCCAGAAGGGGAGAAGGAGAGTCACACCTGGGGGCATCTGGAGTAGGGTAGCTGTGAAGGTCTGGCAAATAATCCATTCAATATCAACCCCACAGATGTGCTTGCCAGCTGGGAAAATGTAATCTCGAAGGAAGAGAGTCAGTAGGACTTGGAGGAGATTTAGGATCTGGCAATGGTGACACTGTAATGGAGCCAGTTTGTGCCCATCTTCCAAAAAGGATATTGACAACTTGGAAAGATTATTTTCTAAAGCTCCCAGTGTCATTCAAGGGCAGGAAAACAGGTCTTATTATAGTGCCAGACTAATGAAGCTCAAGCTATTAATTTATCAGAGACAATTTGAAGAGGTGACTTGATCTGTCTGCAATCACAATCTGCTACCTGCGTGGGGAAGCGCTGTCTGAAGGCAGGTAGCTCTTTTATTTGGAGGAAAAGGGAGTGATGTGCTCTACTGGTTGGGAACAGATCAGGCTAGAAATTAAGTGCAAACGCTCGACAGGGAGGATAATTACCCATAGAGACAACTTACTTAGTTACCTGGCACGTTCTCCATCACATGAAGTCTTTAAATATATGCAGAGTATTTTTCTAAGTCAATAAGCTCTACCTCAAACAGGAATTTAGGCTCAGTTCAGCAGTCACTGGATGAGGTTATTAGGTGTGTGTTATACAAGAGATCAGGCTAGATCATCAGATGCAAACTTCTGAATTAAAATATCTCAAAGTTTCCGATATTACATGAAGGCAGGCCCACCTATATTCATTTTTTTCACACAAAATTGACTTGAACAAAGAGCCCTGAACTAAACTGAACTTGCCAGCATTTGGTAGGAGCTGCACTAGATCTCCTCGCAGTTGCAAGGTTGTTCTGCCTGTAATTAAAGGAAGAGAACTGGACAAGAAAGGACAACAAAAACCCTTGGGCACACAGAATAACCCTGATGTCTCTCATTAATAGCAGCCTGGGACAAAATCACGCACTCAAGCGATCGGTGTGAGCACGGAAGGAGAGCTGTGGCTTTGCCTCTTAACCAAGGAGGCGGCATCGTGGTGGCAAGAAGCAGCTTCTCCTGTGTTCAGTGGCAAGTAGAGAAGCCAAAGTGCTGGTTGAGGATTATATTGTACTGCTTTGCAGCTGAACGAGGTGCGTGAGTTCCTTGCTTCAACGCCAGCAAACTGCCTGCTCTCCCGACGGGCCCCGCTGGAGCCGGCTAATGAAGGAAGCGAAACGACTTCGGTGGGACGACCCCGAGTAACAAGAGCTGGTTGCAGTTGGCTGTTCTGAATATTGCACCTTGGAAATAAGCAAAGAGAGTGCTTGGGTTCTGGCTCAGGTCTCACAGAGCTGCTGCCGGTAGGTACGAGGCAAGCGTGAAGCCAAGAGCCACCTTCCAGAGCTGTGCTGTGGCAAATGGCACGAAATGGGATGCATGTTTTAAAGAGTAAACAGTTCGCGCAGGCAAGAGAAACCATAAAAGCAATACTTACTGCAAATTGGTATTGAATCAATATCACGAAGCGGAGACGAGAAGGGAGCTGGCTACTGACAGAGCTAAGAAGATAAAGATCTTCGGGGATTCTCGCTCTAATCCAGTGTGAAATCCTAAGAAAATGAGTTTGGGCTAGATTTATTGTGTAAAGAACACCGGTACGTCCTGGCTGCCCATCAAATGAGCTCCGTGGAGCCACCGGTTATGTGCACGAGTGTCCCCTTGCAGCGGGGACGGACAGACGGCCCCCGGAGGCACGGCCGAGGTCAGGCTGGGCAGGGAAGGAAGCTGATCCTGCAGACGGCTGTACCATGTCCGCTTCTCCCCCAAAAGTGGGATTTGGGGCATTATTATAACACGTCCAGGCTTAGGCAGAATGAAATGAAAAGCTCCTTTCTGATTTGAATTCCAAATCTATCTAAATACCTTTGCTGAAAAGAAAAAAAAAATCCTCTGTAGCTGTTGTTACATCTCTAATCACATTACTTCTATTAAGCACTTGCCTTGAATTCATCTATTTGATATCATGTCACCAAATTAAATAGCGATATACAGTTTTTTTTTTTTTTTTAAAGCAGGGAGATCAATATTGCAGCAAAACCGCATGTAAGCAATAAAAAGCTGCGCAGAGGAAAAAAAAAAAAAATCTGCCCATCAGATGCTGAGGGGACTTGTTTGTTTTGTTTTGTCTATGGAGAGCTCGGGTTTACATCCAGACAGAGGTTTTTCCCTACTGCGGCAGGCTCTGGTCTCAAGACTAGTCCAAACAGATGCTTGGATCCCTCTTACTGCTTCATCCATGTTCCTCGTGTGCAGGGGGCTCCTTCTCCGCCTGGCTCCTGGGAGAGGCAAGAAAGAGATCGAGTGGCCTCCAGCGCGGTGGAGAGGCCACGGAGGGATACGAGCTTCCAGACTATGCAAAGCATCTCAGCCTGAGACAGATCTCATCCTTCTCCCCACTAAGCTCAGCTCCACGGATGGAGGAGAGGAACCCAAAGACCTCCACCAGGCTGTCAGGCCTGGTGCATTTTTCACTGGGGTCAGGTTGCTCAAAGCCACCTGGCAGGGTTGGGATGCGCTTGGCTTTGTCCTTGGTTTCTTGTAGGGATTGAAATAAACAGACCTGCCTCACAGTTACTCCTTTTCCACATCTAAGTATGGGTAAGATGAGGGTGATAGCTGCCTGACCCTACGATCAGTCTCACACCGTGTCAGCCAGAAAAGTGGCCTCCAGCTTTGGGTTCCTCCATCCTGGGGAGCTGAATTTGAGGTTGGCTGAACCTGTCCTTGAGGAGGGCAGGTAATTTACGGGTGGAACTGAAGCCACATCTGCGTTGTCTCCAAAGGCTGCCCCAAATCCATGGCCTGCATGCAGCTGGGGATGGACACAAGCTGCGGGAGCTGAGGGGGAGGTTGGGATCGAGTTCCTGGGGTTGAGTTACTGGGAAATACACCGGGGTGAGCCAGGAGAGCTGCTGAGGAGCCTGGTGTAGGAAGGGATGAGTGCGGTGCCCTGGCCATGCTGTGTCTGGGCCAGCTGCCCTTGGGTTCAGTTCTGAGTTACGCTCACCAGGGAGATGCTCTGAGGCTGTAACCTCCTTTTGATGTTAACTTGGTTGAAAATCTAGGAGAATGCCAGCACTCGAGTGGTTAAAACACGACGCACTGTTACTCCCTGTCCACCTACGAGGGAGCATTTTAAAGACAGAGCCAAACGAGGTGGTAACACAGAAGCGTGCCTTTTTGTTTGAGGTGCACTGCGCTTCCCCAGGCATCCAGGTGTTCATCTGTATAGCAGTGCTTCTTTTCCCAAACCAGAAATTATCATGCAATCTAATTTTTAGTACAGAAAGCGGCCATCACTGTTAATTCCACCCCACGGTTTTTATATTTGCGATTAAATTCCTTCTGTTTTCGAAAATCAACAGAAAATACAACCCGGGTGGGAGGGAGGAATTCTTATAAATGATGAAATTAAAATCAATATCAAGTTTTTGGTATCTTTGGGCATGATCTCTGGAAGCTTTGGATATCTGCTTTATCATTTTGTATATTTGACAATTTTGTACTCTGCATTGTTTGACTTCATTTGTGCATGGCAATGTATTAAAACATGGAATTTTTATTATACAGTAAAAGCATTTTGTTTGATTTAAACGAGTCCAGGGCTTGCTCCATTGCATGAAGAAAAGAAAAAAAAATCGATGGGGAACAGAGGCCCACTGATGACAGTTCTCGGCAGGAGGGGACCTGTGCCCTGGCGCAGCCCTTTCCATCGAATTTTCTCCCCCTTTCCCTTTGAGGAGGGGGAGTGAGAGAGCAGTTGGGTGGAGCTCAGCCACGTAGCAGGGTAAACCCACCACCAAGACATCTCCTATGGGGACCAAACACTATAGAGGCAGGTACTAGGTTTGCTGGTGCGTGTGGCTTCATCTCCATCCCACCCCCGTTTATTCTCTATGTGGCTCAGCACTTGCAGCACAACAGCAATTTGCAGGTCAGTGGCTGAGGCAGCTTTCAGAGATGCTAACGCTGAAATTCCAGCACAATTCTGTGTTCTTCCATATATGTGGTGTTTGGTTTTTATTTTTATTTTTTTATTTTCAGCCATGAAAATAAATATTCATGATTATGAATATTCTCTTCTTGCGACGCAGAGACTGATGACATGTTTTGGTCAAACAGAAAATAGTGGGCTTAATACAAAATAATAGAGTGAAATTATGTAGCGTGCAATGCAACCGACAAAGTCAGGATAAATTGTCATCTGAAAAAAAAAAAACATATTTTTTACTGTAACATTTTGTGATCATGCAGCCATTTACTAAATTCTGTTTACATCTTTAAAAAGCTTTCTACTCCATAAACTTTGTTAGTGAGAAGTGTATGTTAGCAGAGAAAGCTCCATTTTAGAACAAATCTGTGCACGTCACATCTTGGGCTGAAGGAAATCAGAAGCACCATAATGGTGCAGGAAGCAGTTTCCATGTCGCATGTTCTTTTCACCATAGCAGTCTGCACAGGGGTTACGGCAGCACCATATGACTATGTTCTGGGTGCTGCATATGAAAATTATTTCTATTAGAAACAATGGCACCTAAGTCAGATCTGCTGTGGGATGAAACAGCAGCTACCGTGACAGTGAAACTCCTCCCTGGACACAGAGAAAGCTCCTGGTGCTTTGGGGCAAGGACAGTTCGGGGCCACGTGTGCTCTGTGGGTTTTGATTTCTCACCAGTGGGCAGTTTCCCAGTTCATAGCTCGTTATTCCTAAATCATCACTGGAGCAGCTGGTTGTGCAGTTTGGTTAGTCTGTGCATTTCCTTTCCTTGATGGACTCGGAGTGAGTTGCACGGTTCTGGGTCCTCCAGAGCTTGCTGTACCTCTGGGCAGCAGCTGCAGGTCACAGCCCTGGCCATGCTGCTTGGCCCCTTGGCTCCAAAGTCACCTCCAAATGGTGGGTTCCTGAATCGAGACTCAGTAACTGAGCCAGCCTGTGCTCAGTTGGAGCAAAGCCTTACATGGTGAGCAAATGCCCTTAGACCACAGTGAAGTCCAGAGAAAGGAGTCCAACCCCAGAAAGCCCAGGTGACGCCCCCAGCCCCACCACTAACACGCTGTCTGGCAAAGAACATGTTCCCTCTCTTCACCTCTTCTCATCCCACCTCCTGACCCATAAAATGGGAGCTGGATTGACCTCGAACAGAGAAACTACAAGTCTTCCGAGAAGCTGCTGCTGCAAAGATTGTAATGCAAGTGGGGTTGATCTGAATGGACCAGGCATTTTCGTACAAATGTAACAAGCTTTATTTGGGGAACAAGAATTTCCCACCCACGCCCCGTGCTTAGCTGATGTTCAGGTCTTACTGCAACCATGCTCTGGCCTGTTGGGGTCTCAGTGCAGGTTGTGATGCTCCAGAAGCATTTCTGTGGGTTTCCTATTAGTCTGGCCTTGATTTGTCTGAGGTTAATTTCTCCTCTGAACGCTCCTTCGCTTCATTCATGTCATTGCTTTGTCATTGCCTTCCCCTTGCTTTGTGCACCTAGCGTGATTCCTCGCCTTCCACTGCTGTTAGCATCGAGTAGGAAGTGCACCGAGTTACTGCACATGGGAAACATGCTTTCAAGTGAAGTGGTTCTGCTTTAACTAAATGGCAATGAGGCACTGGCCTTAGGAGGAGATAAAAAGGAGACAGACTGCTACAGGTACATTATAGAGCAATCAGGGCATTCATCTCTTCCTCATACCCATGTTGGAGCGAGAGGCTGAAATGGCAGCAAGAATGACTCTGGGTGGATGTCAGGCAAAGCTTTCCAGGAATAGGGATGCTGAAGCATTGGGAGAGAGCCTGGAGAGATGGAGAACTGCTCAGCCACGGGGAATCCTGACCCTGTGCTGGGACAGGAGGATGAACTAAGTGCTCTCCTGGTGTTTCTCTCAGACCGATTTTTCTGCAGGTATGACTTAATGGGAAGCGAAGAGTTAACTTTGTTAATTATCATTACTTTGCATTTCAGCTGGAACCGAATTTAGCTCTTCTTTTTTTACCTCTTGGAGGTAGAAGCCTACTACTCTGTAGCTATGAGTAATTCCAGACATGCTCTGGCTCATTTAAGTCAATTCATCAGGCTGTCAGCCGGGAAACTGGGACACGTCCACCGCTCCTGCCGCCCCGGGCACAGGGGCAGAGCGCGGGGTGGCTGCAGGGAGCAGGGCTCCCATCCAGTGTGGTTTGTCCTGGTAAAGAAGAGAAATTATTTACAGGGAGGACAATCAATCACCAGAACAACCTCCCCAGGAACGTGGTAGAGCCCCCATTACTGGAGGTTTTCAAGGTGCGATCGGACAGGATGCTAGATAACCTTATCTAGGTTCCCTTTTCCCATAACAGGGTGGACTCGATGATCTTTTGAGGTCCCGTCCAACCTGGGCTGTTCTTTGGTTCTGGGATTTTGGCATCATGGTGAGGATCCTGGTTGAGACCACCTCCAAGATCCAGGTTTTCATCTGCTCTTTGCAGGGCATGACCAGGGGATTTGGGGCAAGGCTGGTGAGAGGCTTGGGAGAAGATGGGTGGATAGAAATGGAGGAAAAAAAAAAAAAAAAAAAAAAAAGAAAAAAAAGAGAGAGAGAAAAGTAAAAAATAAAGGGGAAAAATGTTTTAGCCTATATACAAGGCAGAAAAGGGGCAACATTTTATAGCCAATGGTCCAAAGCCTTGAAAGCTTCATCCATCCTTATCCTTGGCAGATGGCAGGTTGGAGATGCATGTGGTCACCTCCGCCCCCACTGAAGGCTGTAGGTGTAGCCTCTCCTTCACTGGGAGTTTTAAGGCAGAGAAATGAGGTGCTCCAGGGCACGCAGCAGGTCTCGGCTTGAGCACCCCGCTCTGGCACTTCGCAGGGAGAGCCCAGGGGGAGCTGGTCTGTGCTACGCGCCCGACGCGCGGCCCCGGGGCACTTCAGCTCTCCCTGCTGCGGGAAGGGAAGGAGAGGCTGACAACGTGGGAGGCAGATTGTTTTATGGGAAGTATCGGGAACCATTGTGCTAAGCTGATTAACTCATTTAAACAATTTTATTTAGCTGCAGAAGTTGCCCCGTATGAAAGTGCAGCTGTAAGCGTTTGCACAATGAAATGCTCCCACATGCAGGAAAGCCAGATAAGCCCCTGCCTGTCATTGTTACAGCCAGAAATTGGAGCACTTTGGGGAAAATGAAGGGTTTTTTTTCTGCCTTTGTTTAAGTTTTAATGCAGAGCATGAAGAATACAGTCCTGCTAACTGCATGTCCCTCGGTCCCAGCCTCAGCCCGGCGTTGGCAGTTCTTGGCCAGAAGCCTCAGCACTTGGGAGAGCCTGGGGCTCCCAGCACCTAACTCCTCCTGGCGATAACAACTGCCCCTTCCTGCCCCCTGGGAGCAGCTCTTCTTCCCTCCCTCTGCCTCCCGGAGATGTGTATCAAGGGTTGAGGAAATGAGGGTCAAGGAAATGAGGCTCTCTTCATGCTTTCTCTTTCTCTTTGTTATTAGTCTTTGTTATTAGGCTGCCTCTTAATCCCAAAACATGGACCTTTTTTGACAGTGTTCTGCTAATCCCACGAGGGACAAGGCAACCAAGAGGAAAACCAAGATTGTCTGGAATATTACCCAAATGTGCTGGGCCAAGGACCACCCTCAGTTTTTCTCTTGGGCCGCCAGTCACAAAACCCTCCCCATTAGGCTTAAATTAAAACCACCATAAAAGCAGTATGGTTTCAAGCAGTCAGCAGGGCATTTATATGGGATCTTCAGCCTGAGACTTCTCCACGGGCCATGGTTTGGGACCCCCTGAGAGTAGGATATTGTCTCGAAATATTCTCCGAAAGCCAACGAGAGGCACTGGTATCCGACCACAAAAATAATTGCTCTCTGCTCTACCATCTCTGAAGGCTGTAAGGCAACGTTACCTCCTCTGTTTGCTCTGCTCACGGCCAGTGCTTGGCTCTGGTTTTCTTGGGTTCCCATTGCAGACTCGGAGAGGCAGCAGACCTTCATCACAAAGAGGTGGCCGTGCCTGCACATCTCCTGGTACAGACAGAAAATGTGGTCAGCTGCGTCTGTGGCAGTAGGTGCTTGGGAAGCATCTGAGAGATGCTGGGGGCTATGCTCTGCTGTTTGCTTTGTGTTGAGAGGCAGCACTGTAAAAAAAAAAATCAATATGTCCCATTTTAAATGGATTAGGAGGCAGTTAAACAACAGGTCTCAGAAGAGGAGTTGCAAATGAAGAGTGATCCCACGGGAGTTTTCATAAAGGGAATATTCAGGAAGCTCTCCATGGCTGCTTACTTTAGGGGTTGTGATGGATAAACAACCGAATACGAGGTCTCGATGTGATGCTCTTGCTAAAGGGGCTAATATGACCCTAGCATGTATAAATGGGAATATTGAGTGTAAGGAAATGTATTAGCTCTATATCTGGCATTAGTGAGACAAAACTAGTCCCGTTCAGCTGTCAACACTTAAAAATCACATTGAAAAACTGAGAAAGGTTGGGAGAAGAACTATGAGACTGATCAAAAGCATATCTTACGATGACCCAAAGGAGCACAATCCATTTATATTATCAGAGAATGAATTGACCAAGATCTGTAAGTATCCACACATGGAGGAACAGTGCTGC